AGGTACATTACGGACAAGATTTCCTGTAACATGCTCAAATTAGCTGCCAGGTTTGGTTTTATTTCTGATGCGTTGTATTTAGCAATGTATTATTACAAGACATCCAGGTACACAGAAGCTTTATCTATTATAGAGATGACTAAGGTCAAGTTATCACAACCACATGTGATGTATATAGACTCTATATTTGGGGACAGAGATAAGTATGCTCAGGTTTTAGGAGGAAAATCTTGGTCTACAAAGATGAGAGAAGCCATAGCAGGACCAATTACGCTTTACGAAGATATCGGTTATATCAATGAATTACTGATAGAACAGTCTGTAATCAGGCATCCATTATACATTCGACCTTTTGTATTGCTACACATGCTAGAAATTTTGTGCTACATTCATGTTGATTTAACAAGAGTACAAACAGCTTTGAATGACCTTTGGAACCGAATTCAAAATAACTTTATTGAAGGTATCCTGCTTGGAGGCATATCATGGCAAATCTTAGGAATTTGTTACTACATGACAGGGAACTTCAATGCTGCTTTTTACGCTTTTCAAAAATCACTCAGACAAATTCAATATAATCAGATACAGACTGCTACAATTATCAGAATTATAATATTAATCTATCAATTTTTCTAATAAGTAAAACACAAATAAAACAGGAATCACCATAATCTGTAAAAAGGTCATGTGGGACAGACTGCTGCTCTATTTATGATCTGACGCAACAACAACAAATGAGATTTCGCATGGATAAAATGAACAGAGTTCAATAATATTAGGTATGAATTTTACGTTGTTTGTCAAACATTCACAGAATTACAGTAAAAAAATTTCAATATGTGTGTTGACTTGACTTTTATGATCAACAACTGGAAATAACATTAAAATATATTTTAAAAAAAATTATTTGTGTTGTAAAAATCAAACAATTTAAATACTATTTCTTAATATTTTTGACATAGAATACCACTCAAAATGGGTGAATGGTATCATATTCTGCATATCTGACACTAAGATCTACAGATAATTAATGGTAGATGATAAAAGAATTAGAAAGACTGTAAGAACAAAATGTTATGAATCCAGCAGACAAAGCTTGTAACAATATAGTCTAGCTTTGCTTTAATGAAATTTTTTTTGGCTCAATACTAATAAAAAAAGAGAGATGTCAATCCAAAAAGAGTACATTGTGTTTCAAAATATTGTATTTGTTGGTTTTAATTTGTGTTTTTTTTTTAATTTTATAACCTCAAAACCAATCCATCTGTGGACGCTAAACATAGAAAAAACGTGGAATGGCCTCATGTTGTACATGCATTTTAATACCACTATATTTGTTTTCTCTTCTTTCACTATCATTTATAGATATATTTTGAAACAAGATTATTTAAATTATATAATAAACTTTACAATCTGTAACATTTGCTACAATAACTGCAGTACAATACTGGGTTTTGATTTGTTTATTGATTAGATGGGAATACTTAAGTCTAGCTGTCTTCAGTAGGGTACACATGTCCACTGTGTGAATTAGTGTTGTCTGTTTTTGGAATGTCAGTTGTGGAAGAGGCTGTATAAAGTAGGCATGTCTACTGCTCGGAGGGAGTTGTCCATTTATGGTTTTGTTTTTGTCAGATTGTGTGTTTCTATTGTTTGGGTGGGTTGGTGTGGTCCATTTCTTGTTGTCTTGGCGTTGTGTGTTTCTACTGTTTTGGTGGAGTTGGTGTGGTCCGTTTCTTACTCTTGGATTTACTGACAGGCGGAGAAGCAGCAACTTGCGGCTGACGGATTTGGATCTGCTGTAGCTGTTTATACTGAAGCTGCTGTAGTTGTAGCATATGTTGTTGGGGAACTGCGCCCCCTTGTGGTGTGTTAGGTTTGAACTGAGACAGGGTAGCTAACTGGTGTCCAGAAATGTTCTGTGCTGTCAGCTGCACTGTAACAAGGGAAAGGACAAAAAATGTTACAACATTTACAAATTCCACCATTTTATATTCTTCTGCTACCAAGACAAGAACTTTTCCTCTTAATTAGACATTTAAAAATTGGAAAATGAAGTACACAGCAGAATTTGTTTAATCAGTTCATTAGGCCTCTACCTTACCTGTTGTTGGTAGCGATGGCCCTGGTTTACCACCAGACTGAGAGGTCATGACCCCTGGGCCTGACTTCCCTGGCGCCCTCTGTTGAGGGAGACCCACTAACTGTATACCAGGCTGTCCCTGGATCTGCAATATTGGATATTTTATTTAAATGGATGAGTACTTCACCTAAATGCTTTTCAAGATCAGTATCTCCCCCCAAAACATACAAAATGAGTAGCTTGTTCATACCTTGTGAGATTATCTGTGTGTAAGAATTATTTACCTGTGTTTGAGATACTCAGGTAACCTGTCTATGAGATGTTTAGTTAACCTTTATTAAGATGTTGTGTTTACCTGAGAGATATTTAGGTTACATGTGTGTGAGAAGCTGAGATTAGATTTATATTAGATTTACCTGTAGAAGAGGAACAGAGGATGGCTGTCTGATGTTAGATCCAGGCTGAGTCTTTACCCCTCCTTGTACAAAGGGGGTGATTCCTATGATGGGGGATAAGAGTCCTCCTGAACCAGTGATAACAGTACTGGGGGTAGTCACTGACCCTGTAGTACACCAAAATATTTCATAAAATATTTAATAATTGTATGCCAAACAGTGAAAAAAAATATGAATATCTTAAAAAAGAAAATAAAGATAATGTATACATTTCTTAGGCAGGGGATGAAATGTATTATACAGAATTGTATGAAAGTTCTAAAATTACATCATCCTTTACTATATGATACATAAATCCTAAAGTATTTTTTTTAGAGATTTGGGGTCCAATTTTACAAAAGACAAAACCGTAATTTTGCAAATAACTTTCTTTTAAACGTAAGTGTAAAAATTTTTGAAAATCTTTTTAAATAGGATTGAGAAGGATATATCTATGCAGGCAATATGTAATAGTATCATTAATTGTGCAATATTCTAAAATCACCTTAAGTTTTTGTCTCAGTCTTTAGTTCTTTTGATAAACAGGCCCCTTAGATGTACATATAAATATGGTAAATCTGAAATCCTATACAATATCCAAGATCATTTGGATACTCTAATATTAAAACATCGAAAGATTATCTAATTTTTATTTACCTGAAGTGACTGTAGATGATGATGATTTATTTACCTGATGTGACTGTGGCTGATGATGAAGGCGATGATGAAGTGAAGGATAAACCAGAAGTTGTGACAGCTGTGGGCATTGAGGTTACCATGGTAACCAAAGTTGGTGCTGACCCAACAGATGATGAAGTCTAAATTACAAAAGATACTCTGACATTGGTAAAAGATTTAAAGTTTAATAGAACAAGTTGGACAATAGAACCTTATATAAGACTTCAAGCATTTTTCAAAAGATTAAGTCATTGAATACCTGCATGTAATGTAAATTAAAAGAACAATAATTCTACCAGGCTATTTAATGTCTCATCAAAATTTAAAATGAACACCTATGGCAAGTTTATAAAGTATAAAACATGTAATTAACAGCAGGCATTTAGTAGAAAAGCCTTATATAAAACTTCATTTTAATAATAAGAATAAAACAGAATAAAAGTCAATAAACTAGAAATTGTACCACAAATTTCATTCAAAATCATTCATATACATGAGACAAGACATCAAACATTGACATGCAATGCTAAAGCAAGCCCTCCCTAACCATACTTAATTATATAACGATTAATTCTGAAATTCCCTGCACAAACACTCATATACTGTACATTTAATTGTTAGTATCCTTCATTGATGAATTTAAACAAATTATTTGTCAAATGTTTACACCCTTAATGCCAAAAAGTGAGAGCATGCTGAATCCACACATGACCATGGTTACCATGGTTACCATGCAGACAAACTGGAAGTGTTGACATCTGGTTGCCATGCATACGTACAAGTTTTCTACTCACAGAGACTGGCACGGATCCAGTGGTGGTGGAGGATAGAGAACCACTGGGCAATGAACTGACAAAGATGTTCTGATTCTGTATTACACCTGTAATATTAATATCATAAAATACAGGTGTGGATCTTAGAGTGGTGGTCAGAATTGACAAAGATGTTCTGATTCTGTATCACACCTGTAATAATAAATATAAAATACAGGTGTGGATCTCAGAGTGGTGGTCGGAACTGACAAAGATGTTCTGATTCTGTATTACACCTGTAATATAAATATAATAAAATACAGGTGTGGATCTTTGAGTGGTGGTTAGAACCGACAAAGATGTTCTGATTCTGTATTACACCTGTAATATTAATATCATAAAATACAGGTGTGGATCTTAGAGTGGTGGTCAGAATTGACAAAGATGTTCTGATTCTGTCACACCTGTAATAATAAATATAAAATACAGATCTACTTCTGTTCTGATTCTGTATTACACCTGTAATATAAATATAATAAAATACAGGTGTGGATCTTTTGAGTGGTGGTCAGAACTGACAAATGTTCGATTCTGTAAAGGACCTGTAATGAAATATATTACTTGAGCTGTACTGTATACAGCGCTCGGATATAACAAAGTCGCTGGGACCTATGTAATTCTTTAGAACCGTATAAGATATTCATTAATTTTATATAGCTGGGGATCCAAGATGACTTCGCTTATAGCACGCCAAATTCACAAAAATGAGCTAAACCCTAGTTTCACAATTGATAAACTAATACTATAGTTTACAAATCATAAACTATAGTTAACGATTCGTTAAGTAGAGTTTTCATCTGTAAAACTATATTTAACCGTTGTTAACTATAGTTTACGAATGCTAATCTAAGTTTATCTGTCTGTAATAAAACGTTAACAATAGATTTTGTTGATAAACATAGATTCACGTCTGTAAACTATAGTTTACGATCGTTAACTATAGTTAAGAGTTGTTAACCAGAGTTTACAAATCGTGAAACTGTATTTATCAGAAAATCTATGTTTTGCAATTGCAAATGATAGTTTTCAGTGTTAAGTATAGCATACATGTTAACCTATTGTGATGAAAAATAGGGAGATTCAGACCTCAAAAGCGGTAGCATTGCGCGCGTGTTGTTTAACGCTTGGATTATTGATATCTTTCATGTAATATACATGTATATTATATGCCTTAAATGAAATCAGGTACCTACATTAATTAATCTTAAATATTTCCATTTCTATTTTTTTTCTCTGTGATACCTGTTTGAAAGTTGTGGGAATTTATTTCTTGATAATTCTGCCGAAATGTAAATTAGACAGGTCGATAGGTCAGCGGCTAAGGAGGCCTAATACGCATGCAAATCTCGTGCACATCTGTCTCTGTGTCTGACGCTAAGGAGGCCAAATATGCATGTAAATCTCGTGCGGCTGCCTTTGTGTTTGACGTCAGTGTGTGAGGACTATTGAAATTGGCATGGAAGTCCTCGTGTAATTTATATCTATAAGTTTACATTTTTAATGTCTAAGTCTACAATTTTATTTCACAATGAAATGGAAATATAAGGAATTACTGTCTAGTTATGAGAGTATGCCAGGGACATCAACAATAGTGGGAAACATGGGATAATTTTAGCATAACGGGCTTCGCCCATTATGCAAATTATCCCATGTTTCCCACTATTGTTGATGCCCTGGCATACTCTCAAAACTAGACAGTGATTCCTTAAATATCAACAGCAAAGAAGAAGACAGAAACACCTTAAGTTTGACATAAATTGTACAAATTCAAATATTTTTCATGCTCATCATTTTGCTTGGATTGGCTGCATTACTTAGCTTTTTGAAGAGTGATCTTTGCTGATATAGCCTACAAGCAATAATTCTGAATGTTCATTCAGTTTTTAAACAAAACAAATGATGACATGGTTTAATCGAGATCTAAAACAAGTTCCTATCTTTCGTTAAATAAATCAGATTTCCCACGATGATCGAAAACGAAAGTAGAGATGTGCCACATGGCTTGGTCAATCGAGTGATTTCTATTGACTTTATTGATAAAGTTGTGAGCTTCTGTGCTTTTACAGACGATGTCAAATGTTTTCATCTAATTCTTAAAAGCTGTATCTTCTTTTTCATGGCAGGGATGTTGATTAATTTATCGTAACCAATGTAATCACTGGTAGTCTTGTGTCGTTGTCGTTGTCAAATCCGTGCTTGAAATCTATGTACAAAAAAAGCGTTTGTATGATTCCGAGTCAAATCACGCGATATCTAGCGAGATTTTATGAGAGTGGCTTCAAAAATGGATACCCAAGCTTACCAAAAATACTTTAGACGCAGCTTTTGTAGAAAAGCGGTATATTTCTGAATTAAATCGGTAGGCGGGAGATGGAGTGAAAAAGCGGTAGACTCCCGCCTAAATCGGGAGAGTTAACATGTATGAGTATAGTTTACGGTTGTGAAACATAGATTATTGCGTTAACTATGGTTTACAATGTAAAATATAGATAAAAGTTGATAACTATAGTTTACAACCAATAAATCTAGTTTATCGATTGTGAAACTATGATTAGTTCATTTTTGTGAATTTGGCATGCTAAACATAGTTTAACAATTGATAAACTAGGTTTATCGACTGTAAACTATAGTTTACAAACTGTGAACTGTAGTTTACAATTCGTTCACTATAGTTTTCATCTGTAAAACTATATTCAACCGTTGTTAACTATAGTTTACGAATGCTAATCTAAATTTATCTGTCTGCAATAAAACATTAACAATAGATTTTGTTGATAAACATAGATTCACGTCTGTAAACTATAGTTTACGATCATTAACTATAGTTAAGAGTTGTAAACCATAGTTTACAAATCGTGAAACTGTATTTATCAGATAATCTATGTTTTGAAATCGCAAATGATAGTTTTCGGTGTTAAGCATAGTTTACATTTGTGAAACATAGATTATTGCGTTAACTATGGTGTACAGATATAAAATATAGATTAACGTTGTTAACTATAGTTTACAGTCCGTAAACTATAGTTTACAACCGATAAACCTAGTTAATCGATTGTGAAACTATGATTAGCTCATTTTTGTGAATTTAGCGTGCCATATTCATTATATCCATGAATTCGCAATTTCCGTGTTCATACTAAATGAGTTTTCCTGTATGGACTAACGCTTTTGAGTTTGACTGTACTATTTTTGGATCTTACCTGCATTGGTGTTGATGAGGCTTATGGGCACGGGGACGGCGATGCCACCCCCGGGCATGGACACCCCGGTCAGTGACACCTGCATGTTCTGTAGCCCCTGGAGGTTGGCGATGTTGACCCCCGGAAGTCCGGTCAGGTTCTGGATGTTAATGTTGGGGGGAAGCCCAATGTTTGTGATGTTGATGTTAGCGATGTTCTGTTGTTGTCCACTCTGTGTGCTCGGAGGATTTTCTGTGTCTACAAGTAAACATGAAAAACATCATTAAAATTTGATCCTCCATATTGATCTTCTGGTTTAAATACATGTATAGCATAATTCAAATTAATTACAAGTGTAGCAACTGAACAGTTTTCAAACTTGAATCTCTTACTTTGTACAAAAGTTACATTTCCCTGTGGGAGCCCCGGGTTGATCTGTTGTACAGTGGCACCCTCTGTTGATGACTTCCTGCCAGGGACAGATGTTGGAGGTGAAGATAAACTGGTGACCCCTTTATTGGTCTGGGCTGCAGCGGGAGAGGGAATCAGGCCAGGAGAAAACAACTGACCTTGAACTACATGGAATGAATTAAACAAAATAATGTTACAGTCATTTGATTTTTATGTATCTTTTCCTTTCAGTTAAGGTTGTACTTCATTACCCTAATTTTTGACTTACTTGGAGCGGAAGTTGGAGTGGTGGCCGGACTTGGGGTGGAGGATGAGGCCCTGTAAATATAATAAACAACAAATTTTAATTTTTAATTATGATGAGATAAGCATATACCAAAACAAACTTCCTTACCTTTACCCTGTGACATTGCTTTTCTTACCTTTACCCTATGCCCTGTGACAATGCCTTTTCTTACTTTTACCCTGTGCCCTGTGACAATGCCTTTTCTTACTTTTGCCCTGTGTCCTCTACCCTGCTACAATGCCTTTCCTTACTTTTGCCCTGTGCCCTGCCTTTTCTTACTTTTGCCCTGTGCCCTAGCTGTCCTTACCTTTGCCCTGCTGCCCTGTGACAATGCCTTTTCTTACCTTTGCCCTGCTCCCTGTGACAATGCCTTATCTCACCTTTGCCCTGGCCCTGTGACATGGTTTTACCTTTGCCCTGGGCCCTGTGACATGGTCTTACCTTTGCCCTGCGTCTGTGAAAATGCCTTACCTTTGCCCTGAACCCTGTGACAATGCCTTACCTTTGCCCTGCGCCCTGTGACAATGCCTTACCTTTGCCCTGCACCCTGTGACAATGCCTTACCTTTGCCCTGCGCCCTGTGACAATGATTTGCCCCTCATTCCTGGCTGCTGCGGTTGCTGAGGTTTCTGAATGTTCAGTTGTAACTGGTTCCCAGCTGGCTGGGCTCCTTGTGCTGAAACATAGTGCAACACAGACTATAATATTTTGATCATATGGATGTATATACATTACCTTTTTTAAAATGTCAATTTATTTTTTAATTATTCAATATCAGTACAAATATCATACATACCCATAGGGGCCAAGGTTAGGGAGAGCTGGATTGGTACATTCCTTTTGGCAGTGAGTCCTGATGAAGAGGTGGTAGACAAATCAGCCTGGGTATAAACAAAGAGGAAATGAAAGTGAAAGTAAACATCACATGAGAGGAAATGCATGGAAAATGAAAGTTACACTCAGTAGTAAACATCAGGAAAATGAAAGTGTACACTCAGTAGTAAACAGCAGGAAAACGAAAGTGACAGTAAATAAAGGAAAATAAAGAGTATTTAATAAAATAAAAACATAGATATGATTTAACATTGATATAAATTCTTATATAAGTTTTTAAATTTACAGATTAAGAGCTCTAATTCTTAGCAACATAAAGAAACATCTTTTCTGAAAGACTGGCTTCAAAATTTTTGAAAATAGAGAATGGTGGTTTTTTACATACATGTATAGCATGTATATTTTATAAAATTTTTAATTATATGACAAAAATAGACCTGAGTAAACTGCCCCTTAATGGCAGCTGTGAGAGCAGGTGCATGTGCACTGAGAATGCCCTGGGGTCCAGCTGGTCCCAGTCCTGGGGTGGTGGGGGTTTGGGAGGTTTAGGTGAACTCTACATGTGGGGGGTGTCCAGGTTTCTGAGTGGTTATCTTCACTGCCCGCCTCCCCTCCTCTGTAAATATCTCCTTGAACTGCTCAAGGTACCTGAATTATTAAGAGTACCTAATAAATTCTCATATTCCAATAGTATAACAGATGCACACACAGATAGAAGAAAACAATGTCTCCAGGTATCTAGAATTATATCCACCAGAAGTTGTGTACCCAACAGGAACCTGTTAAATAAAATTCTAATATTTAAATACAGAGTGGTTATAACAGATACACACACCATGTTAGAATGAAAACAATGTTTACAGTCTAATCTAGAATCTGACTTGCTTGTCCACCAGTAGTCGTGTACCCAACAGGAACCTGTTAAATAAAATACCACTAAGTAATGTTTATATAACAAATAGAAATTACAGACACAATATGTAACATTTGAATATGTAAATGGTTTTGCTTAATATAACTCCTTGTCTTTCCATGATGTATGCATGTATGCATCTTAATATAATAATTACTTAATTTTCTGGCACATGACAAAATTAGACAAATAAAATAAGAGGAAGTTAATGAGAAGGTGACGACTTACATGCACGACGTGCCGACGCTGCCCTCGCGGTAATCATGGTCCAGATAAAGCTCCCCGTAAAACTCATCATCCGAGTTCCTCTTCTGGATGGTTAGTTTGGCCAGGATTTTTTTATCCGCGCTGACGTCTCGTTCCAGAGTTATCTCCTCCATGACCTCCTGTTATGAGGAAAGAGTGACATTAAAAACAACATTTTTTTTACTTAGTAATGAAAAGATGCAAAATATATTTTACTCTCTTGCTGGAAAAATAGTTGACTATTAAAAAATTGCTTTGGAATGAATTAACAAAGACAAATTAATTTTCGGAGCTTACAAATGAATTATCTGTTGCCGATTCTGCAGCTGGTACAACCGTCGCAAACTTGTTCACCTGAAAGAAATTTATAAACATTGTTTATTTAATTTTCACACAAAAAAATCTTCTTTCATGTGAAAATTAGAAAAAATACCTCTACAGATTCAGGGGCAGATAACTGAAGCGGTTTCTGTTTCCACATGTCAACATGCTGAAAAATATTTAATTAAAATACATACATGTATCTCAAAGATTATGTGAGCAAAGATAAAAGTCATAATCATTAACAAGCCATATCAATTGAAATACTCTTTCATTATTACTAGAGATTTTAGAATTCCTTGTAACGGGAGCAAAATATTTGATCCACATGTTATATCACTACATCAGAAAACATTTGGATTCATCTAGAAAATTGAGGTATTTTGAAATTTTTTATACATACAGCCATATACATGTAGTATTGAAACACAAGATATTTTCTGTGCTCAGTTTGATGTACTTATAAAGAAATCTTTTATGTGAAATAGATAAACAGCTTTTCTGATCATCAAACAAACTCACAGGTTTTCCCACTTTCAGATTGACGGGAGGATTGGACCTCATTTTCTTTTTATGAATGAAGTCGTGCAGCTTGAGTTCTTTTGGTGCAGCTGCACTGGCCGACTTCCTTTTCCTGTTCAGAGCAGCCTGGTTGTACCTCTTGGCTGACCTAATTATATAAAATTTTATGAAATGCGTTAATTTCTGTATTTTATGTACATGTGTATTATAGCATCTGTTTCTTTACTGCAAGACAGGTTAAGACACTAAGTTAAAATTAAAAGTGTGTTATTATGTGTATATCAGAATTCTTCAGCTATCCCTCTGGACTGAAATTTTTTTAAATATAACTATTTTAGGTTGACAATTATCTTTTTGAAAATCTGTTATCTTCTCTAACTGAACTAAACACAATAGATGAGGTACAACTAATTGGAAGGAAGATATACTTCTTTTTTATACAACATACAAATGATGAAGTCTAACAGATGGATGCATGGTCAAATAACCAGACAGACTGTGCCACATTGTTTGTAAAAGGTAAATGACCCTGGATACCGATCTTTTAAGCATGGGGTCACAGAGTCTCTTTTGTTTGTACTTACCTTTTGAGCATGGGGTCACAGACCTTTTGAGCATGGGGTCACAGAGTCTCTTTTGTTCATACTGACCTTTTAAGCATGGGGTCACAGAGTCTTTGTTCGTACTTACCTTTTGAGCATGGGGTCAAAGAGTAACCAGACAGATCTTTTGTTAAATACTGACTTTTGTTTGTACTGACCTTTTGAGCATGGGGTCACAGAGTCTCTTTTGTTTGTACTTACCTTTTGAGCATGGGGTCACAGACCTTTTGAGCATGGGGTCACAGAGTCTCTTTTGTTTGTACTGACCTTTTGAGCATGGGGTCACAGAGTCTCTTTTGTTCATACTGACCTTTTGAGCATGGGGTCACAGAGTCTCTTTTGTTCGTACTGACCTTTTGAGCATGGGATCACAGAGTCTCTTTTGTTCGTACTGACCTTTTGAGCATGGGGTCAAAGAGTCTTTGTTCGTACTGACCTTTTGAGCATAGGGTCACAGAGTCTTTGTTCGTACTGACCTTTTGAGCATGGGGTCACAGAGTCTCTTTTGTTCATACTGACCTTTTGAGCATGGGGTCACAGAGTCTTTGTTTGTACTGACCTTTTAAGCATGAGGTCAAAGAGTCTCCTTTGTTCGTACTGACCTTTTAAGCACTGGGTCAAAGAGTTTTCATTTGTTCGTACTGACCTTTTGAGCATGGGGTCACAGAGTCTCTTTTGTTCATACTGAAGTTTGTTGTTGACCAGAAAGACCGATGGGGAGGGGTCCAGGCAGAGGGGCTCCTCTGTTGCCAATAGCAACTGACTCTCCAACGTAAACTGGTCTTCTTGTGTCCAGCGATGTCCGTCGTTAATTATATTGTACATGTCTGACAACATCGACTGAAAATAAAAATATTCTAGGAAATTAAGTGATGTCCTCGTAATTAATTAAAGTAATGTCTGTATTTGATTAAATTGATCATCTCACAACAGACACTGATAAGTGAAAAAATTTAAATTGAATATACTAGTTATGTAATAATGCTATGAAGTAACATATGATTTAATTAATTAAAATGAGTAATATATTTTCTTTATCCAAGCTGACGACTGGTTATCTATTTGTACTTTAAATACTATAGGCTACAGCATACCCTGGATAAGATGATCATTCATGCATTTTAGAAGCAAAGTCTTGAAATTTAAAGGTTCTGTTTCTAATTCAAATCATTTTTAGCTGTGATATTATGATTATTGTGACACCTATGTAAATATGTAAATACATGTACATTGTACCTGAGGGGTGGGTTTCAGTAGAACATACTGTGTGTCGTACGACCCCGTGATCGACCGACGGTAATCTCGGACCTCCAGAATAACACAGCCACTGTAGAACACATTCACCTGTAATCAGAAAATCACTCATCTCAAATACGAAGAAATATCATAAATCATAAATAGAATGCTGCCTATGAAGACTACTGTATTAACTTCCAGTTACTTTAGGGGGGGTGGAGACTGGTCCTTCGAATAAGATCGTATAAACCGAGGTCCCGTGTCGCTAAATGGCCCTGAGTGCCGAGCATAGGACAAAATTTGCAGCTTTTCACTGTAAGTGGTGGCATTTCCGTATTATGAGTGAAAATTCTCAAGAGGGATGTTTTAAAACAACATACAAACAAACATACAAACAAACAAACATACAAACAAACAAACTATCAGTTACAGACCTGAGCTTTCTCCAGAAGATCCACAAGGAACGGAGGAAGCTGTCAATAGAACAAAGGGAGAAATTATAATAATTATACACCACATCTAAAAAACACCCAAAAATTCATTTTTAATAGGACTCATTTATCTACAAAATACAGATATCACACATCATTTTGATTTTCCTCTATTTTTGACCTTGTCGAATCTAAACATCTCACCTCAGAAGAGTCCACATAGTCCAGTAGCTCTGATACCTGTAAGGTAGAAATTGATGATTTAATATTTACATTTCCAATGTCTTTGTTTAAGATAAAATTACAAATAGTCAATGTACTTTATTTCTCCATCAGTGTACTGGTTCATCGATAGGTGCGGTTTAAAAAAAATCATGTACAGTGTATACAATATAAATCTGACCTCGTATGGGAGCTTCAGTGTCTCTAGCTCTACCCCTCCACGCCCCCGTAACATTATGGAGTAGCCCTCATTTCCCGGGTACAGCTTGAGGATCAGACAATTCAGTTTGTCCCTCCTGACCAACTTAGACAAGAGATTAGAGGACAGCACAATATCCTGGAAAACAAAATGTTGATTAGAAAAGTACACTGACAAAAACTACACAGGAATCCTACAAAAATTCACATACAGTCAAACCTCTCTACCATGATGGCATGAACTCTATGTAAGTGAAGATTCAATTAAGATACCCAGGCTAAAATATAGATTCTCAAATTACTTTAATGTATCCACAATTTTTAAGATCTCAGTGTTTTTGATGTCAAAAGTTTCAAAAAAGCTGTATATAAATATCTACCGAACAGCTTAAAATGAAGGTCTTTTAAAAATTTACAATGAGTCAAATAATCATATTATCTGTTTAATCTAGAGAGGAATACATCTAGGCCATCTTTAAAATTATGTTTGTTTGCCCTCTCCCAATGATGAAAAAATTAGGTCAATAGGACAGTGAGAAATTTTTTTCAAGAAAATTTTACGATCAATCCTAAACTTTCAAAATGTAATGCTTAGCAAAATGCTTCCTGAGGTTAAAATAAAGTCTTCAAACGGGCCATCTTGTTATTTTCAGTCCATTGGTCGAAAGAGGACAAGCAAACAATTTTTTGAGATGGTCCTACAGCTGTGTGTGAACTCTGTATGACTTGTTCCGAGTTTCCTCTGACCTTGCTATCATCTTGGTTCTGGCAGGATTCTATGTACAAATCATGTAGCTTCTGGTGAATCGATTTACTGCAACAAAAAGAGGACCTTCATTATATATTGTATCTGTCAAGGACTCAAATATTAACTGATGTTGTTTTTAAGAATAAGCGTTTTTCTTAAACAGAAAGTCTTCAAAGATGATAGTTTATTCCATAATGAACAAAAATTAAAACATATTTTACCAATGAAGTAATTTATTTTCAGGAGGCATTTTGACTCTCACCTTTTACTGCTGGATGATGGCTTACACAGTGAATCAGGCCTTTGTTTGGCTGCCTGGACTAAATACTGTTGAAAAAAAAATCCAAAATTTTAATGACTTTTATCACGTAGTATTGTTGCATGCATGTGTTTAAAAATTAATTTGAAAGATTTTCTTGCATGCCCTTCAAAGATCGTGAAATACTAGAGATGCAGGCTTTACAAGAAGTCTATTAGCCAATGTTGATAACTAATACTAACCCTGAAACAATTTAATCAAAATTAGATGTTGGCAATGCTCCTAGTATAATGCCTAAAAGAGTGGATCTAACATCTGATTTTAATGTAAAACTAAGCTCTTTGTTGAGTATGAGACAATAAGGAAGGCCTTAATTGTGAAACATTGATAGATTATAAATTTTCAGTCTTATAATTATTTTACATGTAACCTGAATATTTAAGAAATAAGGTATCATTTTTTGAGTTTTATTGAGATGTAAAACGGGTTGGTCACGTGATCAAATCTCATGAAGCCCGAAGGGCTTTATGGAAGATTTTCTCATGTGCCAACCTGTTTTACATCCCAATAAAACTCAGAAAATGATACCTATATTTACATTTGTGACTTATTCATACTTTACATTTGCCTGATTGTTACTTTTAACGTGTGAAATGCGTTATTTTTCAAACTCAACGGCATGTATGTAATCCACTAAACGCGCATCAAACCTTTATGACGTCACAGAGAAATTACGTCGAACGTTTGTCCAAACACACATTTATGACCTTTGTTTATCTCACCTTTTACTGCTGGATGATGGCTTACACAGTGAAACAGGCAAATTTGTTTGGCTGCCTGGCACTAAATACTGTTAAAAAAAAATCCAAAATTTTAATGACTTTTATCGCGTAGTATTGTTGCATGCATGTGTTTAAAAGTTAATTTGATAGATTTTCTTGCATGCACTTCAAAGATGTAAATAATAGTGCTGCAGGCTTTACAAGAAGTCTATTGCCAATGTTGATAACTAATACTAACCCTGAAACAATTTAACAAAATTAGATGTTGGCAATGCTCCTAGTATAACTAAAAGAGTGGATCTAACATCTGACTATATAAAACTAAGCTCTTTGTTGAGTATGAGACAATAAGGAAGGCCTTAAATGTAAGGAAACATTGATAAATTATAAATTTTAGTCTTATAATTATTTTACATGGACCTGAATAGTTAAGAAATGAAGGTATCATTTTTTGAGTTTTATTGAGATGTAAACATTGGCATGTATCATATCCTCATGAACCCGAAGGGCTTTATGAAGTTTGATCATGTGCCATAGTGCTTTACATCCCAATAAAACTTAGAAAATGCACAGTCCTTATTACTATATACTTATATTTACATTTGTGACTTATTCATACTTTACATTTGCCTGATTGTTACTTTTAACGTGTGAAATGCGTTATTTTTCAAACTCAACGGCATGTATGTAATCCACTAAACGCGCGTCAAACCTTTGAATGACAGTCACAGAGAAATCACGTCACCAAACGTTTGACCAAACACACATTGGTACCTCAAAGTTTTACCCCAGTTACCTGTATTTATACAGTTATACATATGCATTGCTTTCAGTTGTGTTACAAAAGGAAAACATTTGCAAATGTATATATTATGTCATAGTGCAGTTAGCTTGGCACACACAGTGAAATGGAAATTCATTGACTATACACTTGTTCTACTAGAGACTCTGCTATGATTCCGTAAATCTACAATTTGCTAGTCAGAGATTTATGAAGGTCTATTGAACGACTTTTTGTGGCTGGTGTAGGACACTTCAGATTAGTAATGTGTTAATGAATAGTGCATGCATTGGCTTTTAGCTAGTCCTTGCAAGGTTGCTTACATTAAGTCCAGTCTAAAGACTATTTCTACCTATGTAGTTATTAATAGCGAGCTCAGTAGACTAATAGAATCTCAATCCACAACAAATGCATCTGACAATAATTTTAACTCGACAAAATAAATTAAAACATTGTAAAAGGCTTTCAGATCAGAATTTAAATAACCACAAACCTTCTTTAAGTTTGGCCACATTTGTTAGAAACTACAAAAAGTTAGGCCTAATTTTTACTACTTTCAACTATTTTACTTTTTGACTGACTTTGACCGATCCATTGTTGACAATTTAGAATTACACGAACTTCATCATCTTTAAAAAAAAATGAAGATTTTTTATGTTCATACAGGGGAGTGTACACCAGTCTCACTCCTGAGAACTGAATATTACAGTGAATATTATTTTTGGTTTTTATGATACTGTAGTATGTTACATATATACTTTTACTAAATTACATAATTAGATACACATGTAAAATTGCGAACAGTCATACCCCCCTCTCCGGTGTTCCTTACCTCAATTGTTCTTAATTTCTTTTCTTTTAATCTAATACTTTTCTTTGACACAATCACAGAGTATTATAACTGAAAATTCAAAAATGTAACATAAAGCTAACCTTGAAAAAAATTCGCCGTCTATAACTATATGATACTGAAAGCCCCCCCCCCCCTCTCCTACATGATTAAAATAAATAATAATCTTTTAATACCAATTGTTAGGCCTTTGTTTTACACAGGATTTGACTGCGAACAATCCTGTCTACCTAAGCAGTACTTAGGATGCTTACTCCCACTTGGCACCTGATCCTTAGATCCCACCCAGCTTTTGATTTTCCGGAAGTCTGTGAAGAAATTCATAGGGAAAGTAGTCTGTATGGAGTTTGCCGATATTGAGGTAAGGGAAACCACTTCTTTCCCTGAATTCTCCCAGGTAATATCTCACTCCTCATAATCTATGGGATACATCCGATGTTTTAAAAAGTTTGGGAGAAAATTACTCATTGTTATTGTCCATGGGATTTACCAGTGTACAAATTATGGGGTGGGGGAGGGGGGGGGGTGGATCCCAATTGGCTTTTAAGATGCGATATCTTGAAAAAATAGACATGTTTGTGACCCTGGCTATGATATACTGCTAAGAAATCCCGCAAAGTTCTATAATTTATCTTAGGCAGAAAGCTCTAGGTCTAAGAATTTATTTTTGGACAACACAATCAGAAATGGAAGTAAAAGTCTGGACAATGTCATGTCCAGATTAATGTCGCAGTTACTAGTATATATACTAGTGGGATACTATAAATTTTTAATTTTATACATGCCTCCGACAGCGACAAAAATATATTTATGTATATTCCATACTTTTAAGCATAGACCTAATTAAAGCTTTAGGTCTATGTGTTACATTAAAGTTTTGCAATTTAAGAAATTTAAAACTATCTATAACAATCGATTAGGTAAGCGTTAGTTTCTTTCTTTTGGAGGATTAATTTTTGCATTACTTTAAGAATATTGACAATTTTTAGGTATGTATAATTCCGGACTGGTGACGTTTCGATTTCCATTTTGATTGAACTAGCAGCTGTCAATGATATCAAAAAGCCTGGATTTTAATTTGTCGTGGGGAATTGTTGTGTATAAAGTTGAAAAGTCGTAAGTTTTTAAGCTGTTGATTTTTGTAAAGTCTTGTGATTTCAAATTGTCGAAATGTTCTTTAGAATTTTGTAGTATCCACATCTGATTCACACAAGTAAGGGAAGTTGACGATAGAAAAGTTAAAGTCATCACGTTAATCATATAGCTTGGTTGTTAGAATTATCATTAGTGTCTTTTTCAAGTGAAATATCCAAGAATGAAACAGATAAATCAGACTCTGTGGTATCTTTCTTCTCCAGCTCACCAGGATATATCAAAATGTTAAATTGAAGGCCACAGCAAGTGTTTTCTTCTTTTCATGCATAAGATTTTGCACCAATTCTGCTTCATTGGAATATAAAATAGGTCGGCTAATAACGGAGCGCAATGTATACACATTGTAATTCCAATAGATTGTTGGAATACCTGGTCTCCAAAAACCACATAGATATTTTCAATCAAATATTTAAGCATCTCTTTGATATCAACTTCAGAGTACTTATTTGTGCAATCAAAATGTGTTTTAACAAAATAATTTTGTAAATGGGCAATATGATCAGGTAAGTAAATTTACGAGTTCCATTTTTATTGCAAAAGCAGATGACATAAAATGACAATGACATAAAAAAAGCTTGGACCTTCATTAACCGTGGTTGGGTATAAAGTTGAAAGTTGTGAGTTTTTAAGCTGTTGATTTTGGTAAAATATTTCGATTTCAAATTGTCTAAAAGTTTTTTGGAATTATTGAGTACCCACATCTGATTCACACCACTTGATTATATTGTTGCACAGTACTCTTGAAGTTTTTCTTTCATTACTGTCATTACTTGAATATCGACGACGTATTGTCAATTAACAATGGTAATTTGCATTCCTATGTCAATACGATAAATCCTAGTGAGCTTGAGATAAAAGATACCGCAGAGTCTGTCACTGCTATTTCATACTTGGATGTTTTACTTGAAAAGACAGTAATGGTAATCTAACAAACAAGCCATATGATAAACGTGATGACTTTAACTTTCCTATCGTGAACTTCCTTTACTTATGCAGCAATATACCTTCATCACCTGCATATGGAGTATATATATCTCAGTTGATTCGATACGCAAGAGTATGCTCTACGTATGAACAATTACTGAAACGAGGTAAATTATTGACAAGCAAGTTGATGATTGTAGATTGATTGTATCTAGGGTAGCTAGGGATCTTTATCGTGCCAACGCCTACCGCTGACACGGGGTCTCGATTTTTAAGTTCTCATCCAAAGGACCCGCAACTTTCAGTTCAAAGTGCCGAGCGCATGGCGAAGGAACAGTTGCTACCCATTTTAACGACTAGGTCAGTCGCGGCCAAGATACGGCCCCCCGATCACGGAGCGAGCGCTCTACCGACTGAGCTACCGTGAACGGTTAGCAAGTTGATGAAACAAGAGTATCAGCAGTCTCGTTTAAAGTCATCATTTCGTAAGTTCTATGGCCGATACAATGATATGTCAGCAAATACAATTTAACATTGAGTCAAATGCTGACTGAAGTTTTTCGCACCAATTGTTAGTCCTTTATTCATACATTGAATTGACGACGGATTTTCCCGTCATTTCCTGATAATTACAAAGAGCACACGGCGGAAGTGACCGGTCGGCAGAGGATGCTCACTCCTCCATGGCAGATGATCCCACCTCTGATGTTTCTGGGGTCCGTGTTTGCTCTGCTCTTATTTTGCATATTGTTTAATGGACTCTCATTCAGCTGTTATATCAATGTGTGGGTTACATGGTTTGTTTTCTATATTCTAGTTATACTGTATTCCTCTGTCTGATCGTTGTCTGGATTACATGATACAGAAACTGGATGTAGACGGGGATGGAGAGATTGATCTCAAGTAAGTAAAGTCGGTTGAAGCAATGGTTCATAAGTAAAATGCAGATCAAAGTAAGTCGACCCCATTTTGAAATGCAAAACTGGACAGAAAATAGGTCTATGTTCTAGAACTTCTTGAATTAGATAATAAATAGTCCATTTTTAAAAGCCTATCTGATTTAAGGAAGAAGATGGAATGGAAAGGTAACAGTAACGAACAGAAATCGATCTAAAAATAAATCTAACAATAGAAATATTTGAATCAGAATAGGGGCAAAACTCTCGAACCCCTGAAAATTCCAGATACAAGAGGAGGGATAAGGCGGCCTGGAGGAGTAAGCAAGTTTTACACCGATTGTTAGGACTTTGTTTTCATATTGAATTAATTTTGGTACGTAATGTTCCTTTAACCTTATCAATACACAGAGTTTACAGCTGGTTCATCGTCATCTTAGGATGCTTGCTCCTCCTGGGCCCCTGGGCCCCTGGTCCCTTGTTTTGAGATTTCTATGATCCGTGTTTTATGGCCAACATGTATTGTTTCTTAATTTTGTGAGATCTATCACTTTTCATTTTTTCCATCGTGTTTAATTCTGTAGTTAAATGAAATTTGGTCTCAGTGGTATTCCCTTAGTTGTTTTGTTTAAAGCAGATCATCATAAATTTCTCTCAATAACCAATTAACGTCCATTTTACAGTAGTTTTTACAGTAGTTTTCACGAGGACGAAGACCTGGGGTAACTATTCAGCATGTGATTGAACTTTTGGTTAATCGTTGTGTTGCAGCTATAAAAAATAATTAGACACCTGCTTATTTTAGATTCTGTAAACGTTTTGATTATTCTTGTTGAGCACATTAGTAGATTGTATGTAGCTTTTGTCACGACAGAGCTTTATGTGTTGTTTCATAAATGACATCGTCGCAAACACGTAAGGCCGAAATGTACGATTATCTCCATTCTGAAGAACCGGTCACGGTAGCCTAGTGGTAGAGCGTTCGCTTCGTGATCGGGAGGCCCGGGTTCGATTCTCGTTCGCGGCGCCGCGTCATACCTAAGACGTAAACAAAGGTAGTGACTGTTCCTTCGCCAAGCGCTCGGCACTAGAAGTGAAAGTCACGGGTCTTTCGGATATGACCTTAAAAACGTAGGTCCCGTGTCACGGTAGGCGCTGGCACGATAAAGAACCCTCACTGCTCAATGGCCCTGATTGCCGAGTATAGGTCTAAATTTGAAGCCCTTCACCTGCATAAGGTGACGTCTCCATATGAGTGAAAAATTCTCAAGAGGGACGTTAAACAATATACAATCAATCAATCAATCCATTCTGAAGAGAGCTCCGGCTCGTGGCTTGAGACAATGCATAAATGAATGTTGTACCAAATCCTAGATCATTAGTGTTGTATTCTAGTAGGCTTGTTTGATTTTGTAAATATATAATAGATTCTACAGGCGCTTGCATATATAAATATATTTACTTTTTAAAAATATAAACAGTTATATGTAAATTTTTCATGGTATAATCTACTTGTTAATTTAACTGATTGGAAAATTTATCAAACATCGTTTTAAAAAATACAATTAATATACTCTTCAAAAAAAGAAACGCATAGTAGGAACAATGCCCTGAATAATTTTGAAAGTTTTGTCATACCTTTTATTTTTGTATGAATACGATGTATTCGAATGAAATGAATGATTTTTTAATGCAATTGTTAACTTTACAGCTATTCTACAAGTCTCACAGACAAAAAGACCTGATTTTGCAAAATTTTCCCCCAAATTTTGATCTCAATTTTCATTTGTTGAATTACGATGCAATTCCTTCAGATACAAAGGGGCTATCAAAAGCGGGGGTTCTCGATATTTTGAATCTGGTTTTATCTGAAAAATGACGCTTCCTTAAATTGCTGCATCTGAATGTTGCGTGGCATAAAAAGGAAAATGGGCGACTGGAAGCAGGGGTACCGTAATCTACAATTGCAAGAGGTTTTAATGTTACAAACAGACCATATCTAACATATAAAACATAAACCATTAACATCGAACACCCAATGTTCGCAAACAATATGGTAGACTACGTGTGACATCAGCAGCACAGCATCACTTCCGAGGATTACGCAAATTGCATGAATGTAATGCAAGGACGTCATCTAAAGCATTAGCTATCTCTGAACTGCACAGATCATCTAACAAGACCGTTTTCAGTTGACTACGAAGTATTGCAAAAGGACTATCCATGCTGTTGTTCCGACCCCACAACACCCCAAATATCGACTTCAAAGATCTCAGATGAATAGAGTATGACCACAGCATCACTGCTGAACATTTTGGTTAACCTACTAGTCCAGAATGTTTATCTGAAAGCCTCGTATAAGTTTAAGAGTACTAATGCTTTTTAATAAAGGTTAGATAGATAACTGCCTCCAGGACGTTAAAAAAGTTGGTGGTGGTAGTGTAATGATATGGAAAATGGTATTATAAGAAAGTAAGATTGATTTGGTTCGAATTCAATGGACTTTGATGGAAAAAAGGTACTCTAACCATGTTCCACCTACACATACCCATTCAATTTTGCAGCACCCTAGAGCCGTATTGTAATCTCACAATACACAGCTACATATGGCTCGTTTGACACACCAATTCTTGCAAAGAAACAACAACCTGTTTCAGTCACAGTCATTTAAATCGCTAGATTTAATCCAAATTAAGCAGCATTGGACAAAAGGGATTTACATGATTTGCCAAAGATAATCGCATCCCCAGACTCTGCAACAGCTGACTAAAGCTCTACATTTGGAGTGGGAGAGTTTTCCTATGCAGTTTTTATTACACACATTTGCTTCCATTAGATGCCGTTTGTGGCTATCATTTGTGTCTGCGGGGGGCATACCAGATATTGATCTTTAATGGTCTTAAACTGACTATAATTTTAAAATTGTTGAGTAATTATGACATTTAGATAGTATTCCTGTTGCTTACCACATTTCTGTTTTATCAATGCATCATTTAACTAAATAATTTTTATGTTCAATGTGTCACTAAAATTCCACGATGCGTTTCTTTTTTTGAAGAGTATATTTCTGCTGTAACACAATAGATGTATAAAGTTATGTATCCTGTGTGGTGGGAATATAGGGATCATAGAGAGTTATATTGTGGGTGATCTATTTCTATCATGGGAATATTATGATCATATAATGTTATATTGTGGGAGATCTGTTTAATTTGTATGTTGGGAATCTTAGGGGTACTTTTGTTTTTTTCTATTACAAGTTCCTTTTTGGTGTACTCTATATGTCTAAGGTTATGTACGAGGGTGAAGGAGCTCAAAAAGACAAATGATGTACTTTATATCTTATATAAACTCTACTCCTACCCAGTACTTAAAGATATAAGGTGTTTTGAGATTAGATGTTATCCAAAGATGAGTGTTGTGTTTATCAACACAATTCTAAGCATGAGGATGGACAGTAATAAAAAAAACCCAAATTAAATAAAAAAAAAAGGTTAATGTAAACAGTTTATCTCATAATTTTATTCTAATTGAAAAGATATAGAAAAAATAAATAATTTCTGTATCTTATTAATACATGGAAATGTTTAGTATTAAATTCTTAAATAATTGATAAATGATGTATCTTGCTATTTACAGGGAAGTGATGCAAGCCAAGTCAGAATACAAACGGAAGGAGAGAGAGATGCACAACGCCTCAAAGAACTGGAACTTTGACATATAAAACACAGACATTGGACGTGTTCGAATCAAACTTCAGAGACTGATGCAGAGAAAAATGGACGGCAATCCCACATTCAGGGCGCGTGTGGACTTGTTCCAAGAGGCGCTCAAAGAGGGAAAACTCAAATCCGTTTACAATGACAAAAAAGACAAAGCCAAGGAACGAGAACGAATCCAACAGAAACGGATGATCAAACGACAGCTGGCAGACGACTCCTTGGATGAAGAGGAACAATCCAAGTTAAAACTGGACCTTGAAATTGTTAGCCAGGAGATGGCAACAGAAAACTCCAGAATCGGGAGCGGATCCAGGAGAGCGAGTGGACGTCCCGCCTCTGGACTTCAAAAACTAAAAGAGCACCAAGAAAACAGTGACTCACAATCCCCTAAAACTTCCCGGCCAAGTTCTGGCCTACCCTCCCGCCCTATATCCGGGCATTCATCCCTCCGACCTAATTCTAGTCGCCTCGGCTCCACAACTCGCCCCAGGTCAACACAGTCAAGTCAGAGAGGGGCGGGTAATTCCAGTACCAGGTCCTCACGGCCGGGCTCCCCCCTGATTAACACTGCGAGGAGAGACTCCAAAAATTTGACATCTAATCCAAACTCAGAGAGAAGGAGCGTATCTAATGGAAATGATTGGAAACCCCTCAATTTCTGATTCACTATATGATATAAGTTATTTATAAATAATGCGTGTTTACTGAAAGAGTAAATGATTGGATTGAATGGATCCCACGATTTATTTTGCTAATAAAACGTCTGTAAAATTTTATAACAGAAATAAATCTATTATTATAAGGTGTATATGCACGGCCTGCAGTGAAGAGCATCACACAAACGGCTGGCGGCGTTTGTCTGTCCCTCCGTCCGACGAATCACAGTTTGAAAAATAGTTGAATATCTTAACAATAATAAAGCAATTCTTGATTCCCAAAAAAATTCAGTTACATCAGACGGTTAAGAAATTACCAATGATGAAGAGGAAGTGGTCATGATTGTTTTATCTTGGAAACACGATGCAATCAAGACTGAGGAGTCGGGTTTTGATGTACTACATGCTCATATATGTACTTGGAAAATACACTCATCTCATGACATCTTGCTCAGAAATTAAGTTTTATAAAGGCTTTTGTTTGATATTTTGTCAAAGTTCTACGATTTATGAATGGGAAGACCTGAACACTTTGACAGAATGAATTGAATACTTAAGAAATAGTTTAAAGAATTGAGTTGGCATTTAGCGAAGTCTTTAAGTTTTCGTCTTCACTAAATCGGAGATGATCAATGAAAAAGATGATCAAAGATATCGAACAGTGATCAATTTAAAAAATAATGTAAATTTTGCAAATATGTGAACTGAGCATAAAACACGTATCACCTGGAAATTCCAGAGGGGGAACCAGGTGTCTTAAACAAGTAAGTATCTCCCTTTGATTGGACGTGTTCTCCATGAGTCCTATATATTAAACAAGAAGACGGATTATTTCGTAGTCAAATCTAGTATTGATATAAACACTTAACAACTGGTATAAAATATGCCCAAAAATATGAACCAGTGAAACTTTATATTTGCAGTGAGACAATTTTTAATAAAAGTAACACTATGAGTCAAAATCATTGAGTTTTTACGATATCTGTAGCATACAGAGAAAGACTTATGAAAATTATGAGAATATAGCTAAGATATGACAATTAAACGGCAAGGAAAAAACTGCACAATATAAATTTTGGAAAAACAGCTGAGATCATGGTAACCATGAAAACTTATGCCACTTTTCTGCGCAAGCGTACAATTGGGAGGAAGAATTATTTAGCGATATTTTCGTCATGGGGCATACTGAAATTATTTTTACTTTTATTTTTTTCATAAAAATAGAATTTTAAGGTTCTGAAACCTGTAACTTTCTTAAACTTAATACTTTTGGGAATTAAACAAAATTAACATAGGTCATGCAAAAATTCTACGTTTGTCAATTTTCCCCAATGTGCGTCACGATTTCTCTTTAATTAATGATTTATCAATTCTTTCCAAATTTAATGTTGAGGAAGGATTGAAAGTTTCCATAAAATTCTTGGTAATCTTTGACATGATAAACATACTTACACGCATTGCACTGATATATGTAGTGCAGGAATCAATTTCAGGGAAGTCAGATAAGCCATGAGCTTTTTCTTCGAATCTTAATCACGCCCTCCTGTCCACGATGGTGCTTCCCGCTCATTTAATAATTATAGAACAATTTCAGGACGTATAAATCCACATTTTCAGCTTGTTTCTTTAAGTTGTTTAGTTTAATTAGAATCGGTACGTCGTAGAAAGTAAAAGAAGTAGATTTTTATTGCAATAAACTAATTCTAGCGTTCATGTTAATACATATTTTGTTTTGGGTTGCATACTCTTGAACATATGTTTATTTGGGGGAGCACTTCTGATCCCCTTACTTTTTTCTCCGTATATAATCTGCTGTTTTTTCATATTTGTATTTTCAATTATGCGAATCCTCCTTATTTTTTTTATATAATGTCAAAGTCAACACTGAAAATTTTCAGCATTTGAAAAAAAAGTGCTAAAAATAAAAAGAATATATTCTAGCATTTGAAAAAATCCGCCCTCCCTATATTCTCACAAACGAAATACGTTTACGTTTTTTTCTTCAAACTTTCTTTGGGAATTGCCCCTAATATTTCCTTGCTGCTGGTCTGTCTTATACTGATATATTGCTTCTAACTCTTGGTGTAACCTGAAGGCAAAACTGAGTTCATTTATCCTCTGAAGATTCTACAATTACCTTATTCCTCATCAGTTCTGAATTAACTAAACTCGAATGTACCCTGCATTTCATTCAATTTACATCATGTACGTGCCAACAGAATACAAGGAAATTTTTGGAACAAAAACGGATTGTTTTATAAAGATCAGCCAAAATGATAAATTAGAAATGTTTGTATATATAGTATTTTCTTCCTCAGGAGATGGGTTCTAGGAGTAAATTGGTTATCTTATATTTCCCGCTTCATTTTGTAAGAACTTCCTCATGCTGTCAGAAGAAAATGAAGGTTCTCATATATGACATGACCTCCTGCTCTTCTCCAATACATGTATTAGTCAATTACAATATTGTTATTATTATAGTGTCACACAATACCTCACTGGAGGCTACAAAATCTCATGTAGTGATTCTGGGTATGCTTTCAGCTCATCCTTGATCTGGTGTATAAAGGAGTTTCTCCTGATCTCTGTGTCAACCTTTGATCAATTATTCTTCTGAATGCAAAATGATCAAACCTTCACACCGTAGAAAAGTTAAAAGGGCTACTCTGGACACACTTTTATCATGTTGTCAAATTACAGATGCATACCTGTGCATTTCGTCAGATAATACTTTTTATATGACTCAAATTTTACCCCCAACACCTAATGTATGTTTCAAATAGTAATGAAAATACACACTTAACAAAACTTCTAAGTGTTTACTATAATTAATGTATTTATCTAGAAAACGACCTGATAGAATGGTATAATATTTTCAAATTTTTATAACCAAGTCTTCTCAACCATTCTTGAAAGAAAATCAATTATCACCGCTGAAAACCAATGTACCGTGACGAAGCTTAAAAACAATAAATCTGTACTTTGCAGCACGTGTTTTGTATAATCAGCATCTTTTTGTAGCCATTTTTAATTTTTGAAAACTGGTGAAACAAAAAAAAAATTACAAATTGAACATTGACAAAGGAGGGAGAGCTTTTGATTTGTTGATATCTGGATCATTCTTGCATCACGTTTTAGTCACTTTTATCTTAGTGTTTACTTGTCCTTGATATTACTTAAAAAAATTAACAACATGTATAAAAACCAATTTAATCACCTTTTTCTATAGGTTGTGTGTCATTTCAATCGCCAACTCGTCACAATTCAAAGTTTTGGACAAAATTTCATCAAACCAGAAGTGATCTTAATCTTCGTCTGAGCCCAAATTTTCTAGTCACAACCAGGTTAAAAGTTTATAACATTGTCCCGAAACAATTTAAGACACATTAAAACAAACAGCTTAAATGGTAAAAAAAAATGATAAAAAAAATAGGTGTTCGTGGCAGTCTTATATCATCTCAAACAATCTGAATCATTCTTAAATCGGTATACATACGCGCGAGACGTCCAAGGATATTGATCATAGGGTATCTATGATGATGCAATGTAAAATCCCTGGATCTGAATCCCATTGAATACTTTGGGGTTTTTTTGTAACAAATGTCACTCCCACCGCTTCCAGACAAAATCAACGGTTTTGAAAGATTCCAGCAGTAGGTATGGCAGCAAACGGGTCAATATCCTATTCAGGGGTACATAGTATCCATGAGAAAAGGATGTTATGCAGTAATTAGAGTAAGTGGTAGTCTTATTCCATAGAGATTATTATATGTAAATTTTCATTTTGAGGGTACATAAGGATATGGAAATAACGAACAGTATTCAATCTCAACGTCCATTAAACAAATATACAAAACAAGAGCAGAGCAAACACGGACCTCCGAAACATCAGAGGTGGGATCAGGTGCATGTCCTTGACACTTTGCTAAAAATTCAGAAGCAATACTTGCATGAAATTATGCAACGTAGAACTGAAATATGCATCATTAACCATGAATTAAAGAAATCATTTATTGTATGCATTTGTTTTTTAAACCTTATAAAATGTAAAGTGAAAACTTACAAGTTTGATTCAGTGTAATAGCAAACTACTGTCTGGTGCTGTAGTATGTGTATATATGTGATGCTTATATTGCATTGTGAACCATACCAGTATTTCAAATCTGAGAACTTTTGCAATTGAGGAACAAGCCAATATTATTAAGGTCTTCCGTCTTCACGGAAGACCTTATAGTGATTCTATTGTTTCTTCTTATTATTATTATTCTTATTTTTTTTTACTTTCTAATTTTGTGCACGCGATTTCTCGAAGACTACTGGATGGAATTACATGAAATTTTCAGAACAGACGTGTCGTTACATGAATTTTGTATATCCTGGAGATTTTTTGAAAATTTCTATCTGGTGCCAAGTTACGGGACATTTCCTGAAATTAAAATGACATTTTGTCCTCGATTAAACTCAAAAACGGTAAGAGATATCAACATGAAACTTTCAGGGATTATAGATCGTGATATATACTATCCAGGACGCAACCTTTTGTTCGTCGTCGCTACTTCCTGTCGTTTGGAGAAACGAATTAAAAAAAATTGTATTTTTTAACTTTTTTGTTTTTCAATATTTTTATTGATTTTTGGAATGATAATAGAGACCCTTTGATTGATGCTTACTATACAAGTTGTTTGGATATTGGTTTGTCTGAACTCTAGATATTAACATTTGAAAATCTGAAGCGGGACCAAGATGGCGGCTGTCTCTGTCAACTCCGCCATTTCGCGAGTAGGGGTTTATGGAGGCAGCTGAGCGTTTGATTAAATCATTCTGACATAAGGATACATGAAATGTACAAAAACTACTTGGACTTTCACGTAGTAGTACGCTGCAATTCAGTGTCAATCTTAAAACTTAATTTCCGTTTCACTGCTTTAGTGTAACTGGGCTACAGTGTAGATACATGTACGTGTGTACAATGTGTTAAATATACTTTCTTAATGTCGAAATAAAATAAAGGCGATAAGAAGTTGTTTTATTTAATATTTAATTTCATTGAAGCTATCACACCTATTTGATAGATCAGTCCAAAGGAAAGGCACAAATATTACTCGTGGTGTTTGGCGCGAGACTATGAATAGTGGCCCGCCTTTTA